AGATGTGCAAAGAAAAGCTGGTACCGTTCTACTCAAACTATTCCAAAAAATTGAGGAAGAAGGACTCCTCCCTAAGTATTATGTGAGGCTAGCATCATTTTGATACCCAAACCTGGCAGAGACAACGAAAGAAGGAAACTTAAGACCAATATTACAGATGAACATCCATGCAAAAATCCTCAGCAAAATACTGGCAAATTGAATCCAGCAGCACACCAAAAAGCTTATCCAGCATGATAAAGTAGGCTTTATCTCTGGGATGCAAGACTGGTTCAACATATGCAAATCAGTAAATGTGATTTATCACATAAACGGAACCAAAGACAAAACTACATGATTATCCGAATAGTTGCAGAAAAGGCTTTCAATAAAATTCAACCCGCTTTCATGTTAAAAGCTCTCAATCAACTAGATATTGAAGGAACATACCTCAAAACAATAAGGGCCACCTGTGAGAAACCCACAGCTGACATCATTAAATGGGCAAAAGCTGGAAGCATTCCCCTTGAAAATCAACACAAGACCCAAGGATACCCTCTTTCACCACTTCTGTTCATTCAACATAGTATTAGAAGTCGTGGCCGGAGCAGTCAAGCATAGAAGGAAAGAAACAGCATCCAAATAGGGAGAGAGGAAGTCAAATTATCTGTTTGCAGATGACATTGTTTTATATCTAGAAAATCCCATAGTCTCAGCCGAAAAGCTTCTTAGGCTGATAAACAAGTTCAGCAAAGTCTAAGGATACAAAATCAATGTACAAAAATCACTAGTATTCATTCCTTTCAATACAAAGACTTGGAAACTACCTGACTTATAAAAGGGTTTATTATCTAGTCTTTAGAGTCATTCACTTTTCCAAACTGCAGTATTTTTTATTGCCTTATTTTCTTATTCCAGAGACTTGTACACCCCAGGGGCATATATCAAAGTAAACTTTTGGGTGGGTAAAAAATAAGTGATAAGCCTGCCTGCCTTGCTACCATCCCTTCCTTACAACCCTCTGTACAAAGTAAGAATAGAAAATTTGGTGAAAGAGGCTAGAATTGAGAACTGGAGTGATGTTTCGTGAGCAGACATGTTTTAGAAGCAGAAAAGGTAGATGGTGGAGAATTTGGGAATTAATTTCGTGAAATCCTGTGTCCACACATACACTTTGGAAGATCTTCATGCATTCTCAGATACATCTGTACCCCTATTTGAAGTCTGTTTTCTATTTTTAGAAGCAGAAGTGAATAGCCTTTCGAAGTTTTATGTTGACAGTAGATTTAAGGAAAATACCATATTGATCTAGAGAAAAATTATTACCTAAATAATGGTAAAAGGCTATGTAAAGTATGGCATGATGACTCCTGTTTGTGAATTGTTGCCTGTACATTTTATAGATAGGAAATCTGAACCCAAGTAGGGAAAGTTATATGGGGTGTTTTTTGGTTAGAATTTTAAGCATGGCACTCTGGCTCGTGCCTGTGATTACAGCACTTTGGGAGGTCAGGGAAGGCAGTTCACTGGAGGTCAGGAGTTCGAGACCAGCCTGACCAACATGGCAAAACCCAGTTAAAATACAAAAGTTAGCTGGGCATGGTAGTGTGCTTCTGTAATCTCAGCTACTCAGGAGGCCGAGGCAGGATAATCTCTTGAACCTGGGGGTTGGAGGCTTCAGTGAGCTGGCATAGTGCCACTGCTCTCCAGCCTGGGTGACAGAGTGAGACTCTGTCTCAAAACAAGCAAAAAAAAAACCTAAGTGATAAATACTTCTAATTTACAATGCCATAACATTATTAACTAGGTTTATAGCAAATATCAGCAGTCCTTAGTCTATCACTCCCATTCCCTTATATCAACTTTCTAGAAGGAATCTTTTCAATTTTTAATTGCTTTTATTTACTGCTGCATGCTCGCTCTCGCTCTCGCACGCTCTCTCATGTGCTCTCTCTCTCTCTCTTTATTTATTTTTTTTTTTAGAGCTAATTTTTTTTTTAAGAGAGAGGGTCTCACTCTTTCACCCAGATTGGAGTACAGTGGTGGGATCACTGCTTACTGCAGCCTTGACCTTCCTGGGTTCAGGTGATCTTTGTATCTCAGCTTCCCAGGTAGCTGGGACCACAGGCAAATGCCACTGTGCCCGGCTAGTTTTTGTATTTTTTGTAGAGACAGTGTTTCACATGTTGCCCAGGCTGTCTTGAACTCCTGGGCTCACAAAATCCGTCTGCCTTGGCTTCCTACAGTGCTAGGATTGCACCAGCAGTTCTCTTTCTAAATAACTTGCCTATGCCATTGTGCTTGGAAAGTCTTATGCAAAAACACATGTTCACCCTCGAAATGCCAGTTGTTCTCCTCTTGAGAAACTGTTGTAGAGTGAACTAAACTGGGAAGATGAACTCATGCTGACTAAACTGTAAGGACCAAATTACTCATTTATAGTGAAATATGTAAAAATCAGTTACATTAGTTATTTACATAGTTGTGACCAGTGAATTTTCTCTCAGTTGGAAAGACATCTAACATGCCATATAACAGAAGGATACTAAAGCATGGAATTGGAACAAGAAGAGTTTAAACACAATTCACATATTTAATTATATTAGGCTGTGTAATCAGGCAGTTATTCCATTTCCATAAAAGGGATAATTTTTTCCTTTAGAATTCAACAAAATTTAATTGCAGAGAAGCATAGGAAAATAAAGAAGACTAATGTTCTATAAAAATTTGAAGCGTATTTTATGTCACATGGCAGATACGCTCCCTCTTGAGACACTTGACTGAACCAGATGGGACAAGTGTAACAAAAACTTACTGTATTGTAAAGAGTACTGAGAGTAGAGTAAGATTCTAAATATGTAGGTTTCTTTTTTTTTTCTAAATATGTTTCCCTTTATTCTTTTTCTTACACACTTCCTTATCCAAAAATGAGAGAATTGGGATAAATGATCCTTATATATTTTTTGGAAGTTTTGACAATTGTAAGAAATGTTTAGAGAATTGTCTTCTTGGACTTCTATTTTTAGTAGTGGAATTGCTTTCATGTTAAATTCTGCACTTGTTTTAACAGAACAATATATGGCTTGACATTTTGGTGTAATTGGTTATACTCTTTCCATTTTTTAAATTCTTTTTTGATTCTTCCACTATCTTTTTTATAATTTTCTTTCATATTTATATATGAAATTATAGTTTAACATTTGTCATTCATTTCCTTTCTTGAAATTCTTCCTTTAAAAAGGTTAAACTTCAGAAGAATTGTCATGGGGTGAGTTCCTGGTGTATGTAGTTGGCCCCACTTTTTTTTTACATTGACATCTTGGGAACTTCCCCTTCTCCTTTCTGCAAATCAATTGCATTCTTGTCGTATTTATATATTCTAGTTAATAGATTGAAATGAATATTTAAATTTATAATTTTGAAGATAGTTTGTACACTTCCTTTGTAAATGAACTGTCACTTTATTAGCTTGGAGTTACTTTTTGTATAAAGTTGTTACTTTTTATGTAAATACGTGGTCTTTGCCCTCTAGACAAATAATCTGTAGATAGTGATAACCAGTGTAGAGAAGTCCCAAGAATGATGTGGAAGACTTGGATGCTTTGTCATCACTGTTGAGATAGAGCCCTTGTGAGTTTGTTCTGTGTGACAGATTAACTCACTTGGAAAGAATGGGTCTAAGGTCCAGTCAGTTTGTTATGCAAGAAAAAATTTCAGTCTTCATGATACTATGTTTGGAAATGTATTCAGTTGTAAAACATATTAATTCAGTTATATTTTTTAAATTGGAGTATCCTATTGTGATTGTCACTTCATATTTCATCTCCTTATTTGCCTTGACTTGTAAATTTCATTGATGTGTTTTGCTGCTCTTTTTTTAAAATCAAAAGATCTGCAAGCGAGATAGACTCTAGAAGTGGGTGTGAGGTAGTCTCGCTTATTTGTAGTACGTGTTATATCTTAGTGATTCTTCAGATTTTAATTGGCTGCTTGTTATCATCTGGACACTTGCATAACATAGATTACTGGAACCTTTTCTAGAGCAACAGGATCAGAATTTTAAAAATCTGACCCAGTGTCTGTTTTAACAAATGCCCCAGGCAAATTAAAGTTTTATTAATCTTTTTTATTCATATATTTTTGCTTGTTTTGAAATTGCTCCACTGGGCTTTTTTATTCACCCTTTCAAGTATGTAAGAAAAAATTAGAATGATGTTTGTTCATAAACTATCTCTAATTGATATTTTTAGCTTTTGATATCCTTTTTGTATATTTTTATCAGATTCACCTGGAATTCCTAGTTCTTCTTGTGAATTTTAACAGTAAAAGATATATACTTGTATTTTTATGTTTTGCTGCCCAGAAGATGTCAAGGTTTATTATGCTTTCATTTATCTGTTCTATCTTTGTTTCAGTGACCAATTTAAGTTGCACCCTTCTCCCCACTCCCAAGCTGCCCACTTGATTATGTTAAATTTTTTTGTTTTCAGATGTTTGATTTTGCCTGACATCTTCCATAGAAATATGTTCTCACATCTGTGAGTAAATAGGTAATAACAGAAATAGTAAATTTGACTTCTGAAAGTATAGGTTTATCTCTATTTATTACACTTACCTCTGCAAATGAAGTTCTCAAGAAGAAAGTGATTTTAGTGTCTGTAAGCTATGTTACTTCCGTCGTAAATTTTTTCTTGATGTTTTATTACTTTAGTTGGGGAAGAGAAGGCTAGGAGTCAGGTCATAGAATTGCTATTATCCATCAAAAGATTTTTCATCATATTAGATGAGGGATGTAATTTAGAACACCTGTTTCTCAAAGTTAGTTTTAGTTAGTTTTGGAGAAAATTGATTCTTTAATGCCAGTTAGCAAATGGAAAAGCTGATTAAGTAGCAGTAATAGACTAACTTAATAACTTAGATGGGTGCATAAAGTTGCTTCATACTGGTTATACTATGGTGTTAAAGAAAACTTTCAACTCAGTTATATTTTTTAAAAGAACAATTATAATTTTCTATTGTAGGAATCTCATGCAGCCCAACTACAGATTCTTATGGAATTCCTCAAGGTTGCAAGAAGAAATAAGAGAGAGGTATATTATTTTGTGTGTTTTACATAATGTTTTATTTACAATGGTTAACTGTTCCCATTATGTAAAAAGCATTTCAGGCTAAAAAATTTTCTTTAAATATTTTTAAAAGCATTTGAATTTTTAGAATGTTTCCTTAGCTTTCTTTAACTTCTTTTTTTAATTTTTTTTTTTACAACTTGATATTTAAAAAATCATTTTGTGGAGATGTGCCAAAAAGTTATCAGTAAGATTGACTGCAATAACTTACCTAAAAGCTATAAATAGCTGAAAATAGAATTATTAAATAACAGTACCCTTCAACATGAAATGGAAAGAAAACTTAGGAAAATTTAGATTATAAAGCCTTAAGTAGGACATAGTTTATTTTTTATGGTAAAAATGCATGTGGGCAAAAACAAGTAAAATGATAGCTACCTGTTTAGAACTTGGGAAGTCTAACTCATGGAGGATAATTAAAAGGCAATTTTGTATCAACAGTTTTATAGCGAGCATGTTCTAATTTAACATTTGTAAAATTTCTCAGTCATTTCACACGTATACAGAATGTGGGAGAATTAAATAGTCAAAATCCTGCGTTCGGATAGCATGGTAAAATTACTTTGAAAACTTTTTAAAAAAAAATTTCTAACTGGCTGGAACCTGGTATGTTTACGTTAAGAATTGTCTAATTATGATACTTTTTACTCATTTAAAAATGTGTAAATTGTCCATTATGTGCTGTGTTCTGGGTTGTCTTTATTCTTTTCAAAAGTAAATGGAGATGTTTTACTGGATGATGAAATATTCTTTATATTGTTTGTGACTATATTTTTCTTATTTTCAACTGTTGGTAATTTACTTGTGATTTAAATATGCCTGCCAACAAACATTATCTATTGTAAATTTAAGATTTACTTCTATCTCTTAGGGGTTTTTTTTGTTTGTTTGTTTGTTTCGGGGGGGTGGGAAAGATGATGTCCAGTCATTCATTTGTTCAAATGTCTGGCAGCACAATATAAACGGCAATGTGCATGAAAGTTGCCTAATGCTCTTGCTAAAACGCATGCTCTGATTGAGGAAGCCTCTGTTGGAGCTTGACAATCTGCATTTCTAGCAAGCTTCAGGGATGTTGGTGTTCTTGGTCCTTGGACCACACTTTGAGGATCAAGGCTGAATTTTATATGGAATTACATGTTTCTGTTTTAGACTTTGAAGTCATTGAGAATGATATTCAGTACATAAGAAAGTACCTGATAATGAATAAGTAAATGAATAAATGAAATTAACAGTTAAAATCTCAAATACTTGGAGTTTAAATGAAATCACTAGTTATCATCTGTTTCCTAAACTATTTTTATGAAACCCAATGGTTTTCATTAGCCTCTGAGGTTTTCAGTATTATTCATTGCTTCTGTAGGGGTCTCCTGATGCCTGCCACAAATTGTTAGACTTGACATTTTTACAGCATATAACTGTAAAACATCGTGAAGGGTCTGAAATTTTTTACCCTTTTAGCAGGTTAACAAGTTAACTTGCCACGGTTTCATCGATGCTGGCAGAAGACCTGAGACGACTGGAAATAAGAGATTTTATTACTCATGGGACATTTGATAGCATCAGCTTCATCTTTGCATCAGTTCCTTCTGACCCCTGTGTCCCACATGTGACAATGTGGAGATGGGTCTAGGTGGATGCTGCACACACAATGGATTTGTTTGTGTTACAGCAAAGGAACCCTCCTACTAGAAAACCCCAGTCTTCTAAAAGGGGTTGCTGGCAAACCTCTTCAATGTTGGTACTGCCAGAAGACATGATTTTTATTATATTGGTCAGAAAACAAATCTGCCCTCTGCCCCCAGAATAAGTCACTGTTTCTGTCTTGCCAGCCTTTTGCTGTGTAAACATTCTTGGAAAGATAATTTAGAACAAAAATCTATCACAAGATATGCAGAAATTGGAGAGAGATTGGAGAATTTCTTCCCAACATTAATTCTTCCATGTGATCTTCATTTGGCCTTTCTCTGATGTAGTGGCCCGTGGCCTCCCACAACACCTTCTGTAATATTGACTTTGATCTTATAGCTTTGGCATAGTGTGTTTATATTTTTGATATTAAAATTCTGGGTGAATCGTGCTGTAGAACTTTTTTGCTTGATTTTGATTCGAATCTAATGTAATTCTTGTGATTTTTTTTCTCTCTCTTGGACCACATTTTCTTGTAGTAGGTGCGTTATCCAGGAAGCATACTAGTTCCAAATACTTCTGGATATTTGTGCCTCCAGTGTACAGTGATTTTATTACTGTCATTAATACATTTGGGTTTTCTTGATTTTAATATATCTATGATTGAGTGACTTTGAGTATTTTAATTTAAATTACACAAGAAATTCTGAGAAGCTATGTTAACAAATTTTAAACATTTATTACTTTGATTAAATTTCATGGATTTCGCAATGATTGGAATTAGGTACTGTATGATTTTAACAAGTTTTAGTCTAGAAAATATAGTTGATTGATACCTCATGTTTTAGTGCAGACAGAGTGGAGTGGTTATATTTTATTCTTGCATGTAAGTCTATTTGCGTGTTTAATCCTCAAAACAAATATAACTGTTAAAGATCTTAGGACCTGTAATACAGTTTATAAACTTGTACTTATTCAAGTAAAATACAGATTTACCAGGAGGCAAATTGCTACTTTTGAGTTTGTTTTTCTAAGATTAACATTCAAACTTTGAAAATTAACTTTGTGATTTCATTTGTAACTTTTAATTGGAGTTCTGATGAGTGTAGGTTTAGACATTGATATATACCAATCAAAGAAGTTAAATACCCTTTTTGGATTTAATGTTAAGATTCATTTAACTCATTTGGATAATCAGAATTCCACTGTTAAAACTGGCTAGTAATTTAGGGCCATTTAATTTTCAGTTTTATTTTTTCTTACTGACTCTCTTTAGAATATTAAGAGAATGCAAAGTGCAAGGTACATAATAGGCTTTTGCATTAGTTATCTATTGCTGTGTGACAAATTATTCTCAAATTTGATGCCCTGAAACATTAAAAATTTAATATATGGGGTCTAGAATTCAAAGTAGCAGGATGCCTTAGCTCTCTGTTTCTTACCAAGCTGCAATTATGGTATTGGCCAAGGTAGCGGTTATCTCAGGGTTTGACTGGGATAGGAACTTTCCAAGCTCACTCATCAGCTTTTGGAAAGAGTTACCAATTTTTTGGCAAATGGGCTTCTCCATAGGATAGCTCACTATGTGGTAGCTAGCTACCCCTCAAAAGGAACAAGTAAGAAAGCAAGAGAGAGTTGAAGACAGAAGTCACTGCTCTTTGTAACTTCATCCTGGAAATTACATTCTAAAGCTTTTCGCTGTTTTCTGTTTGTTAGAAGCAAATCATTGGCTAATTCCACACTCAGAATTGCACAAGGGTGTGATTACTAAGAAGTGGGGATCTTTGGAGGCCATCTTAGAACCTGCCTATTACAGCTTCTGATAGTTAGAAATGAACATGTTAGTCTTCCTTCATGGTCAGATTAAACAAAAGGGCCTTGGGTTCCATGTAAAAGCCAGTCTTGTCTGTGCTAGTTTGTATCAGCATTTGAATGGTTCCCCCCTCTATTTCATTTGATTTAATTTTAAAATATACTTTTTGACACTTTTGATACCCATTTAATTTACTGTAATAGAATCTTTGACGAGTCTTGGTTTCCTTTTGGTTTTATTGTGAATATTAGTAAATCAAATTTTAAACCATTTTTATATGAAAAGCACAGAAAAGTATATAAAACAAATTTATAGTTTAAAGAATTATAATAGAGTGACCATATGTATAAACACCATTGTAAACACAATAGAATGCTGCTAGAACTCCTGAAGCCCCCTTACTACCCTTTTTGGATTGCAGCCATCTTTGTTACCCAGTAGGTAACCAGTATCCCAAAAGTTATGGTGCTTTCTTGCCTTTCTTTAATGTTTTGCTACCTGAGTGTCCATAGGTCTGCCTTTTTTTGAGCGTTATATAAGTGTGCTTGTGCAGTATGTAATCTTTTGTTCCTGTCGTCTTCAGCTAAATGTTAAGATTCATCCATATGGTTATATATGACTGTAGTTGATTGATTTTTGTTGTTGTATAGTATTCCATTAAGTGAATATGTCCTATTTTTGTTGGTGATGGGCATTTGAGTTGTTTTCAGTTTTGGGCTGTTTACAAAAAATGCTGCTATCTTATATGTGTAGCCAGGTTTATTTTACTATGCATATTTATATGGAATGTGTTTAGAAGTGGAATTGATGAGTCATAAGATAAGTGTATCTTCAGATTTAATAGATAATGCCAAAATATTTTCTGAAACAAATTGTATTACTTATTCTTCCTATAGGCATTACATGAGCGTTTTCTGTTGCACTGTGTTCTTACCAGTATGTGGTACCAGTAGATTTTTTCCAGTTTAGCTAATCTTGGGGTATATACAGTTTTCTATGGTTGTAATTTTCATTTTCCTGATGACTGATGAGGTTGAGGAGCTAGTACTACATTTATTGACCATTTGAATTTTTTTTATGTTTGTGTCTGAAGTGCTTGTTTAAAAATTTTTACGTTTTCTTGTTTGATTTTTCTTAATGGGTTGATATTTATATATTCTACATAAATATTTTGTCAGATCTATCTTTCACAAATATCTTTCCCTCTAATTGGGCTGCATTCTTTTCACTGTCTTAATGATGTCATTTGATGAGCAAAAGTTTCTAATATTAATAGAGTGAAATTTATCTTTCCTGTTATAATTAGTGTCATTTGTGTAACTTAAAGTCTTTTCCACCTGTGGTCATGAAGACATTTTTCTATACAGTTCTTTGATTGAAGCTTTATTCTTTTATCTTTCATATATAGATTTATACTCTACTTGGAGATTTATTGTTGTGTATAATGTGAGGTATAGAGATATTTTCATATGGATATCTAGCTGTCCAAGCATCCTTTATTAAAAAGTCCATTCTTTCTCCATCA